AACTAGAGCCACCAGCGCGTAAGAGCTTCTCCAAGCCGACCAAGACGATTCCGAAAGTATGGTTTTCACTCGTTTTATCGAGACTTCGTTATTATTGGTCAAAAAATGTGACGTCACGTTTGTTAAAAAGTGCTTTGTGTCACAAAGCTTTAAAATTTAAATATGTCGTCCGACCTGGGTGATTCAAATTGAAACGCATGTGACGCTTTGTCCCAACGATTGTGACCCGACTCATGTTAAAAAGAATACGTCACTCTGCTATATATTACTAGCGATTGCTTTCGGCGATGTGACGAAGGGACTGGTCTAGTACCCGGTCAACACAATCCCTCTCCAGTCGGGTCACCCACTCCTTTGAATAGACGAAGGAAGTCTCCTGCAAAGAACGTCTCGTTTGCATCAAGCCTGTGTTGACAGGGAAATTAGCACGAAGAGGTTCCCTGCCGGAGCTTTCTTCCAATATTTGCCCCGACATTTATACCTCCGACTGGGGCAGGGCAAGGTCCGCGGCGACTCACATCCGGGGCACACTTCCCGTTTTTCGATCGGGAATCTATATCTGGCCGGTCGAAACTGAGTGTTATTCGAATGTGTCATTGAGAGTGAGCCACGTAATTCCTTCTATTTTTTCTCGTCAAACAAGGCGGGCTTCTTCACACTGTGTGCGCGGGGCGCGCGGGGCCGTTGTGTTTTTGTCTGTCCTTGCATGAGAAAGTGAAGGAAAGTGAGCGCGAGGGCCCCGCCTCACCCCGCCACTCCTCGCCGCGCCCCGCCTCGCTCCACCAAGGGCCCAGCCCAGCCCGGCCCGTGTGTTTGAATGGTGAGGACACACATTATCACGGCCACTCTCAATGACCGTAAACTTTGGTTAGCACTCGCTGCGAAGAAAGTCCCAGCGCACATCGCACCGGAAAAAGAAAAAAAAATGAACTTAAAAACAACAAGTATCAGCACTGCAAAAAGCAGAACCTGCCTCATGGGGACGCATTCTTTGAAGTTTGCCGGCAACATGCAAGAGCAGCAGACTATTGTTGTGCGACTGGCTCGCGACCCACAGGACCAGGCGCAGCCGCACTCCGTGACAGAAGGCCCTTCTTATCACTCCTGGAAAGCCATAAACATTTTGGGGTCCACAACGGGCCGGGTGTTTTCTTTTCCAGAAAGTGCGACGTCGCACTCGCGAGTCGAGTCGGAGGAGGAACTGTTTGTCCAGAGGTTTCTCCGCTGGGAAGCGGCTCGTTGAAGAGTGATGCCGGCTTCACGGATCTGGTTGAGTAAGCCGCCGGAGGCACACACGTGGTCTAAATGTCAGCCCGCCGAGTCGGGGATAGGCCACCAGTTTCACTCGTATGTGTGGCGGGCTGGTCTACCCGTCAGCCTGCAGGGGCTGAGGTAGGCCACCAGTTTCACTCGTATGTGTGGCGGGCTGGTCTACCCGTCAGCCCGCAGGGGCGGAGGTAGGCCACCAGTTTCACACGTGTGTGCTGCGGGCTGGTCTACCCGTCAGCCTGCAGGGGCTGAGGTAGGCGACCAGTTTCACACGTGTGTGCGGCGGACCAGCCTGCCACTGCCTTGCCGTGTTCGACGGGACTGCAGCGGTCGCTGGCCTCAGGACGCGGCCCCGCTCCCCGCTCCAGCCTCTCCGGCTATGCCTGCCAGTGCCTGGCTGTGCTGTCCGAAGAGTTGCCTACCTGGAGGCGCTGCTCTGGTGCCGCCGCGCCGCTGCGGTGGAGCGCGGTGCGGAGACCGGTGCTCCTCCAGCGAGTGCAACCAACAGGCATACTGCGGCGCACTCAACTGTGTACGGGAATGAACCTTAAGTCCTTACCGACCTCACTCTGGAGTACTCGCACACTCCTCTTGTCGGTTTACTCTACCCGTGCGATGTCCCACGTGAAGAAGTAGTTGTTGAATGATAAACTTCCTAAAACAACAGTGGATGATTAGAAAAAGCAGCACGAGTTCCGGGTCTAATGTCGTCAGTGTTTTGTAATCTTCATTTGTTTTCCGTGGTGGTGATTAGCCGCCTCAATTCCAATGGCCCCACGGCCTGCTGGGCTACCGGATGGCTCCGTAAGGCCCTAGTCCCGGACACCAGGTTCCGGATCCTCCACTGGCTATCGGAGCATACCAGGTCAGCGGCCAGCCAGCCAGCCGGACATGGCGGGCAGCTTAGCGCCGCGTAGCGCCGCGCGTTGCGACATCAAGGGACTTACTTTCATCGGTGACGTCTTCGCACCGGCCGGCCAGCCCGCCGCGCCCCACCAGGCCCCGCCGCGCCCCGCCGCACCGCGATGCAGGGCCGGGGGGCCGGCGGGCGGGGCGGCCATCTCTCCGAGTGTCCGAGCCGGCCGGTCGGATTGAGTAATCCTAGGTAACAGGGTAACGAGATCCCCGCAAACGGGGCAGGCCGCTGCCGCCACGACACTGGCGCGGTGACTTGCAGCCCGGGGAGGCTCCCGCCTCGGCCCTCGCCTCGGGTGCAGCAGTGTGTGCCTTACACAACAGGTGGAGTGCTGATCGGCACTCGCGGCATCACGGCCAACAATATTTCACCCACGTCTTAAAATTGGCGCAAAGAAAGAGAGGAGACTTCTTCGGTATTTGGGTGGCCGGCGCTGACACACAGCTCCGGCACGCGCCCTCTTTCCTTTCCCCTCCTAGTCATTAGCATGTCTGGCACCCCCTTGCGCGTGGCGGGGCGTGGCGTGGCGGGGCGTGGCGGGGCGTGGTGGCCAGGATGGGCGCAGGATTACAGACAGTGCGCGGATGACGCATGACTTTCCTTCCGGTGTGATCGAGAGCGCGTCCTCATCATCAGGCCACTTTACACCGGGCTGTTCCGGAGCAGGGTTCGCTTCCGGTCTGACTGCGAACCGAGGACCAAAGAACCAAGGAGTTTTTCGAATTTTTGAGAATATTTTTCTTTGAAAGTGTGTCTGATTTTTTTTAAAGGTTTGCTGCTATAATGAATGCAAGGACTATCAAGTTTAGTCAGTTTAGTTGGAGCAAAGCCGCTAATTATTCCCATGCAAATTTTTTCGGGGGTTTATGCAGAATTTTGGAGTACTTCGCAGGAGCCGCGTCCGTTACGGTTCTTGCGAAATAATAATCCGGCCGCGCTCTCCCTCGTGGCCGCGTCGTTCCGCGGCGTTCCGCGGGGTTTCGCGGCGTGCATCGCGAGGGATACGCCCGATCATTGTTCGACAGTTCCGGGCGTGTGGCATGGCGGGGCAAGGCAAGGCACGGCGAGGCACGGAGAGGCACCGTGTGGCATCCTCGCGCCGCACGGGCCGCCATGGGCGGGGCGCGGCACCGGCCGACAGACAGGTCCTCCGCGGGGAAGGGGGGGGGGGCGTTGAATGGGGAGCACCGCGACACACTGTCGGCAGCGTTTCGGGCAGGGACGGCCGCAGGGACGGGCAGACACACTCTTTGTTTTGCCCCACCTCCTTTCTAGTTTCATAGACCGAAAATAGGCAACCTCTGAGGACGCATTGGATTGGACAACATTGCGCAACGCCGAGCTGTCGTGAGTTCAAGAGCCGCAAACCAAAGCGTCAGCGCTATGCGAGAACAGAACCGAATTCAAACCACCTGTGACAGGGTCTTTGTGCAGTTGAAAACTTGAACATCATCTGATGACAAATCGACCGTCCGGAAAATCCCACGCTCTTTTTCACAGTGGCCTTAAACACGCAGGGATGAGTCTCCTTTGGCAGTGGACACCTCGGCCACCTCGGGCGCCACTCCACCCCGCCCCGCCCGCCCGCCCGGCTCGCTGCCCGGGTTAACGCCGAGCCAACGAGGATGCCTCGCATAAACGGTTGTCAAACGGGATTTATATGCATAGACGGGCGAGTGTTTACTGCGAGGGACCTACGCTGGAACAGCGCCGACCCAGGACAGTTGCGCTCCCTCACCGAGCGGGCCAAGCACGCGCACGGCGGCGACCCCGCGTCATCCACACTCCGGCGAGCACCGCCACCACACTCGAAGAAGGCCGTGCCGGCCGTGCCCCGGTCATCCTGTCGTCAACAACTAGCCCTCATCTCTTTTAGGACGGACACGGGTACGCGGGCACCGCACACGCACGCACACTAACGCCGCAGAACCCATGAGCTTTCTCCGTGACACCGCGACAAGCACACATGCACACACACACACACACAAACGCACGCAGACACTCGGACCACGCGCGTGCTTACACATGCACGCGCGCACACACGGACTGTTCTTTTCAGGCTTGTAAAACAAAACGATGGGCGGCGCGTCTTTTTGCGTGCCGAACATTCCAGGCGTCAAATGGGCCCCGGCGCCTCGGCGATGACCGTTCCAATGCAACTAATGCCATGCTAAGCAGTCGCCGGATGCAGTACCTGCAGTGTGCAAATCAGGCGACCTCTCGTTTTCACGTCGTTGCACGCGGTGCACTCCGCCTCCGCCCCAGCGTCTAGCCTCTATGTGTCTCGCTCGAGCACCTCGGAGGAACGCCTATGAGGGTGCAAGAGAGACAGAGAGACGAAGCCAAAATTATAAGCCAAAATTAGGTGGCGTGTCCTGAAGGCCTGAAGGGGGACCAGCAGGGGCTTGGCGACGACGGCGTCCCTCGGAGACCAGAGGGTGGGGGTGTCCACCACCTCCTGGGCGTCAACGTTCGACATCCGACGTCGAATGTGTGGCCGGCGTGCCTTACCGGCGACAACGCGAGTAAACACACACACACACACACACGCACGTACACATTCATACACAGACACACGCACACGCGGTCACAGCCACACATGAGACGTTGCGACGCAGGGCGGTGGAGTGGGGCGTGGCGTGACGGGGAGGGGGCACACACACGGGCGCGCACACACACACAGCGGCGGCGCGCGCGCGCCCCGGCTGCCCCGGCTGCTCGCTACCTTACCTTCCTACCACCCCTTTCCGTGTTGTTTGGAGCAACTAATAAAAAGGTGACTGCGGCGCGGTCCGGGCATCATTCGTCCGTGTGGCGTCCTCGAGTGAGTCGGTGTGTGCAGTGACAGTGCAGTGTGCTTTTGGACTACCCTCATCGCCATGAAGACCTTCTTCGTTGTGCTCGCGGCGGTGGTGGCGGCGGCCATGGCCGTGCCACTGGACGTGTCCTCCAACGAGGTGCCCTCCAACGAGGTGCCCGGCAGCGGCCGCGACGTGTGGAGCCTGGCAGCCCGCGCCCTGGACCACTGCGGCGGCGCCGGCTCCGACGACCTGGTGGCCTGCCTGGGCGTCAAGGCCGTGACCGTCATGGAGCGCCTGGCCCGTGCCGGCAACCTGGACGTGATGGGTGGCGCCGTCACCCTGGTCCGCACCGAGCAGGCGCCCCGCGACGCCCGCGCCATGCCCACCGAGGCCGAGCTGCAGAGCGCCCTGCCCCAGGACGCCACCGGCCGCTCCGCCAAGCTCATCGACATGCTGGTCGACGCCACCGTGCGCTTCTTCGAGAGCCACTCCCTGCAGCTCCGCCTGCCGCACACCGAGCCCCAGGCCGTCGCCCGCGCCATCGAGGAAGGTGAGGACTTCAAAGCGCTGTCTTCAGTGTGTTGGGCGTGCTTCCACTGCCAAAACTAAGTTGTCTCAGGGGGTTGCATAAAATCACGAGTTCAGTGCTAAAAGGGTAAAATTATTTATTCCATTTTTTCATTTTATTTCCAAATTATGAAAAAGTAAGCAGGGCTAGGAGCGTAAGGCACTGTGGTTGGCTGCATATCGGTGCGGTCGGTCCATCGCCAAATTCCGTTCTCGGATTGGCTTTTCGTCCGGGCGTGGCGGATGTGGAGGCGCTGCGTGGCGCGGCGCGGTCTGACCCAATGAATGCCTCCCCCACCCCAATCCGTGCATCACTTTCCAGTTTGGCCCGCCGAAAATAATTTGCATGTTCGACTCATTAGTTCGGCGCTCCGTTCCGGGTCTGTCTGGGTCGGGCTGGGGGGCGGGCAGGTACCTCTGGGTGTGGGAGTGAGACAGAGTGACGCCGGGCTGGGTGCCGCTGCGAGCGGAAGAGAGAGAGCAAGAGACCGGGTTCTTGGCGACCGTCAAGCGGCCCGGGCTCGTCAAAGCGCCACACATACTGCGGTGCGTGGCATGGCGGGTCAAAGCGGGGCATGCCTCCTTTTGGGCGCCCCCTGCGTCGTCCCCTCCCTTTCTCCACCCCTTTCCCTCTTTTCACCATTGTCCCGCGCAGACACTGTGAGTGTGTGTGTGTGTGCCAGCGTTCCTCAAGGGATCAGGGTCACACGCCAGCAGGCGAACCGGGGCGTGGCGGGCGTAGCTGGCCGGGGGCCACCTGTGGTGTCAACAGCCCAGTGTATGGACGCACGTCGCCAAGTGATGAATCGTCCTTAGTAGGTCAACGCCAGTCCCGCGCCCCTCGTGGACGAAACTATTTTTATTTTTCGTTTCACCGGTTTATTGCGACGCATCCGCCGGGTTACGGAGCTGAGCGTAACCCTTCTGGCTTAATCCAGTCCACTCCGCGTGGCCCGGCTTTTCCAGGTTGAGGGCGCGGTGAGGCACGGCGGCGGCGTGCCAGGACCAGGTCGTGCCGGCCGTCAGGATGTACTCGGTCACCAGGCTGGCCAGGACGCCGTCGTGCAGAGGACGCGGTGGTCGTAAACGGCCCGAGATTGGATTAGCATTGAGGACGGCGGCGGGGCGTGGCGTCGAGCGGAATTCCCTTTCGTGTGGAAATGAGTGCGACGGTGCCAATCAGGCAAAGGTTGACGAAAAACGGCGACAAAAAGCTCGGGATGCGCGCGTCGCGTCCAACGGGGCGACAGTGAAAGTCCCGCCAGGCCGTGCACGCCGTGCACGCCGTGCCGGGTTGACGGGGGGCACTGCTCAACCAATGCGAGTCATCGATACAATGGGCCTTCCCTGCAGGGGGCTGCGCCGGGCCTTGCGGGGCCGCGCGGCACAACGGCTCTGATTTGGCGCGCTCTAACCCTCTCCCTTTGTTCCAGGCCGCGGCAAGATGAAGAAGATGATGGGCCCCATCCTGGCCGGCGTCGCCCTCAAGATCTTCGCCGTGGTGCCCATCCTGATCGGCTTCCTGGGACTCGTCGCCGTCAAGGCCCTCGTCATCGCCAAGATCGCCTTCGTGATCGCGGCCGTCATCGCCGCCCAGAAGCTGCTGAGCGGCGGCGGCGCCGGCATCGGTTCCGGCCTGAGCGGCTGGACCGGCGGCGCTGGTCAGGGCTGGTCCTCGGGAGCCGGCGCCGGCTGGTCCAGCAACGGCGGCTACAACTACAAGCGCTCCATTGACGAGGCCGCCGCCAACGACATGGCGTACAGCGCGCACCAGGCCTCCGCCCAGTAGGGGCCGCCGCACGTGGACACCGACTCACTGAGGACGCGCGCCGAGGGCGGTCTGGCCCGCGGCACCATGTGTACCAGCAAATGGAGCTTCGCGGGCAGGGCCGCGCCGCGGCACACGGCCAAATCTACCGACTGACCAAAAAAGGAAAAAAATACCAAAAGACAGAGAGCGGCGAGGACGTAGTGCTCCATATTGGAGCCGTTACCAGTCCATTTACCATGTACATAGACGGGATGTGCCATCCCCGGTCCGTCCTCACGGAGGGCGCCCGGCGTTGCATTTTCATTAGAGACTGAACAGCCTGGACGAACGTTAGACGAGCAACACTACAGACTGATCTGCTGCACTGTAAAAACGAGCCTTAAATCAAACGTTAACTTAATGATGATGTTGTTCGTGTGGAGGAGATTAATTTATTGTTGTTGTTGCCTTGACCTCGCGGGTAAACGGTGTGACTGCTTTACCTTGCTTTACCATGTAGGACTTATTTATTTTCTCTTAATTTATTGTTCGCTGTTGCCAAATGTTGATCATGATGAATAAATTATTTCTTTTACGAAAAACAATTACAACTTGCGTAGATTGTCTCTTTGATGAACGCGTGACCGGACGGACTGCTCAGGCACATTGCCGCCTTGATGCAGCTCTCTGACGGTTTACTGCCCCCAGGCCTCAGCGCTAATGAAATTACACTAGCAACGACCGCCTTCGCACCGTTGGCCACACTGTCGCAGAGCCAGGCCGGTCGGCGCGCCGTCTGCCTGCCTGTCTGCCAGTCAGCCAGCGATGCGACGACGACGCTGGAAACAAAAACATCGGGGGAAAACGGCGCGCCCTGCCCAAATTACACAGTGTTTTACAACGAAATGAAAAGAGATCGCCACGGTGCATGACTCTGTCGAGGAGGAAAGTAAACAAAGGTTCACGCTTTGTTGGCGGCAGGCTGGCAAGCCCCAAAAGGAACGCAGTGAGACGTGCGTGGGCCGCGTGGGTGTGCGCGCGGGTCGCCACGCCAGGCGGAACGTCGCGACCGCAGCCCGTGCAGACAGGGAGCTGACGCGGAGCTGACTGCTGAATTATTGCAGCTGCTTCCTGCCGCGCCTGTACCGGGGTGTGGCCTCCTGTTAGGCTGGGGCCTTTTGGACGGGACTGGCGTTGCATTAGTTCAGTGGTTAGTGTGCTCCCGCAATTGTTCGTCTCAGGTGGGTTCGTGCCCCGCACCTGTCCCACTGCAACACTTGAATGTCTGGAAGGAAGAAGATATGGATGCCTGTCTGCAATGCCTCCTTTTTCAAAAACTTTTTTGCCGCGGCTCACCTTGCTTTCCAGAGAAGCCGGGGCCGGGGTCTGGGTTAGGACAACAAAGGTGCGCCAGTACAGCGCGGTGTCAACAGAGAGAGAGAAGGAGAGTCGCGCTGCGAAGGGCTCGGCAACGCGCAGTCTGTCAGTCTCACACACACGTTTCCAGACAGTCAAGCGGCCTCATACCGTCTAGCAGAGTAGGCTCCATACATCACTTCCTTAAATAAATTATTTATTCATAAATGAAATAAGTCGCAGGTCGCTCACACGTCGAAGGATGAAAATAAACGATAGTCCGTCTATTTTTTTTACAGTTCCTACGTGTGAAGAACGGCACAAACTACCGAGTCCCAGAGTCAAACACGCGATTCTTACTTTTGAAGAGTCGAAATCGCGCGTTCCACTCGAACAATAATGGTGCTTGGTCAATGCTCTTGAACACCCTGTACCCGCGTCAACTCCCGAAAAATAATATTTACAGTGCCAAGACCAATCAGTCAATGCCCACCAAATACACAAAATAAATACGGAGTGATTATAGACACGCCGCGTTTCTATAAGAAAAAAGACAGTTATATGCACACCGGAAAACCGCTGGTGTGTATATAATAATAAGTGGCGTTATTTTCACGCGGCGTGTCTGCAATGTCTAGTTTTCTTATTAGCACGCCGGAAAAGCTTTTCCGGCGTATCAATAATAATTTGTAGCTTTATGTTGACGCGGCGTGTCCCTAATGGTGTATTTTCTTATTGACACGCTTCAAACTCGTTTCGGCGTGCCTTTAATATTTTTCCAAGTTAGGTGCACACGGCGTATCTCCAATGCTGTGTTTGCTTATTTAAACACCGAATGGAAAAATGTGTTTCTAGCGAGGAACCCGTCCCGCCAGGCTGGCATGGTGGGTTGGTGGTACCGCACCCGCATGCTAAGTTTTTGTCCCCGGTTCGAATCCCGCAGAGTGCGGCGTGCAAATAATATTTTCCCCCTTTGTTTGCACGCCGTGTGCGAATAATAAATCCAGCAGTTAAAGACACGCGGTGTGAACGCAACGATACAATTTCTTATAGAGACGCCTCAAACTCTTTCTGGCGTGTACATAATACTTTTAGCCCCAATTTCCACGCGGCGTGTCTATAAGGCACTAAATCGTTGTTTACACGCTTGGTCTGTACAAAGTGCTCCAAACTTGCAACCCGACCGGCCAGGAAGGCGTCGTGGGCCGGTGGCACCGCACCTACATGCTAAGTTTTTGTCCCCGGTTCGAATCCCGTCAAATGCGGCGTGCAAATAATGTTTTCTCCCTTTGTTTGCACGCCGTGTGAGAATAATAAATTTAGCAGTTAAAAACACGCAGCGTGGACGCAACATAAGGTTTTCTTGTTTACACGCTTCGAAATACGCGCTTAGTCCTCAAGCACGGCGAACAGAGCTCTGAGATTGCTGCTGTCTGTTAGGACCACGACGGTGTCATCCACGAGGAAACACTTAGGTGGTAGGCACCCTCCCCTTGAGGACTTAGCGCGTGTTTCGAAGCGTGTAAATAAGAAAACCTTATGTTGCGTCCACGCCTCGTGTTTCTAACTGCTAAATTTATTATTCTCACACGGCGTGCAAACAAAGGGAGAAAACAATATTTGCACGCCGCATTTGACGGGATTCGAACCGGGGACAAAAACTTAGCATGTTGGTGCGGTGCCACCGGCCCACGACGCCTTCCTGGCCGGTCGGGTTGCAAGTTTGGAGCACTTTGTACAGACCAAGCGTGTAAACAACGATTTAGTGCCTTATAGACACGCCGCGTGGAAATTGGGGCTAAAAGTATTATGTACACGCCAGAAAGAGTTTGAGGCGTCTCTATAAGAAATTGTATCGTTGCGTTCACACCGCGTGTCTTTAACTGCTGGATTTATTATTCGCACACGGCGTGCAAACAAAGGGGGAAAATATTATTTGCACGCCGCACTCTGCGGGATTCGAACCGGGGACAAAAAACTTAGCATGCGGGTGCGGTACCACCAACCCACCATGCCAGCCTGGCGGGACGGGTTCCTCGCTAGAAACACATTTTTCCATTCGGTGTTTAAATAAGCAAACACAGCATTGGAGATACGCCGTGTGCACCTAACTTGGAAAAATATTAAAGGCACGCCGAAACGAGTTTGAAGCGTGTCAATAAGAAAATACACCATTAGGGAAACGCCGCGTCAACATAAAGCTACAAATTATTATTGATACGCCGGAAAAAAACCGGAAAAGCCGGTCCGATCGGGTCAGAACGCTTTTCCGGCGTGTCAATAATTTTTTTTTCAGTTAGAGCTACGCGGCGTGTCCCTTACCCGCGTAATTATTATGTACACGCCGCGTCTCAATAACATAAAGTGGCATTGGGGACACGCGGCGTGTATATAATATCGGTCAAATAAATAAAGTACGCTAGTTTTCTGTTCTTCTTTGGCGCTGCAGCGCTGCTGCTGGGATCGACTAGAGCGGCGGCCTGGTCCCCGCGTCACCGCGTCGTCGCGTCGGCGCTCACGGCCGGGTGTGGTGGCCGCTGTATGCCAGGCTCTGCGGGCCCAGCGCCCCCAGTCCGGAGGGCTGCTCCGGGCTGGACGCCGTCTCCACGTACACGGGGTATTGCGGGTACTGCGCCGTGGGGCCCAGACCAAGGCCAGTGCGACGTCGAAGCCCCGTGAGGATCTGCGGGGTGAAGCATCGTGTGTTACACAGACCGAAATTCAAAGTCATCGAGTTTCAGGTGAGGGGCCTCCCTCATGCAACACATGCATTTCGCTCTTCGCCAAGGAAAGAGTCCTGAACAGAGTGGCTCACCTCGTAGTTGGCAGCGCCGCCACCGCCACCGCCACCGTTGCCGCGCAGTCCCATCATGACGGCCAGGGTGAGCGCGAGCAGCGACAGGGCCAGCGCCTTGCCCGCGATCATGGCCGTCTTGGCGATGCCGCCCACCACGATGAGCGAGCCCAGCCCGAACATGACAGCGATGAGCGGGTTGCCCCAGCGCCTGCGCCGCCGCATGCCTGGCGACGCCGAAAGGGGTTCTCGTTTGAAAAACGCCGCGACATCTCCTGCCCGTCTCTCTCTCTTTTTCCAATCACGCGAAAGCGCGTCCCGCCAAATTAGCCGGTGGGTCGTGGCGGGCTCAGCTGGCCGCCCCCTCCACCTCTCTGCTCCCCGCACAGCGCTTTGCTGCTCTGTCTTTCTCGCACCCAGAAGCAGTGCCATGGAGTGCGAGGGAGACAGGGCGAAGAAAGCGGTGTTCGGAATCATCGCTGGCGACACGCAAATCTGGATCCCGGACACGCGCCACGCGCCCCGCGACAAGAAGAGGTAATTCGAGGGCAGCGCGGTGAGCGGGCAGAGCGCCTGCACAGCAAAAAGAGCAACAAAAAGGAGGAGAAAAGGGAAGAGTACAGCGCGGTGACCGCCAGTGATAGGCTAATCGGTGCCGGCCGCCATGCCGCAATCAGAGACCATATCGATGCTATGCGGATCCGAAAGTGAAACGAAGGGTCACCAAGGGGGTGTTCCGATTGGCAGCGCGATTTGAAGCGTCAATCACGTGGCAAGGCGAATAACGAAACGCACGCAACGGGACAACACTGACAGCGTTCTGAAAAGTGTGGCAAATGCTCAGAGAAAAATTTAAAAACAAATTTTTTTTCCAAAAATATGATGAAAAAAAGTTTTTTAATTAACTGTATGAAAATTTTGATCATTTTTCTTTAAAAACTTGCACAGCTCCCGGTAGGTTCGGGTTGCGTGTCAAGACAGAGACCAGTGGCCTAGAAGGTGGCGGAGCATCTTAATGGAGACGAAACTCATGGGCGGCCACTCGCTAGATCGTTAACACCGCCTTCACGTCCGGACTGCTGCGCAGTCTTATCGTCCTTACATGTCACACCGCGGGGAAGCAGCGTCTCGCGCTGCACCATGTCACACTTTCTCGGAAGGCCCTACGCTCGCCCGCCAAATCGCGCTCACGAAATGTCCCACAGACTGATTCCGGGAGGTGCCTCCGTCACTCTGTCTCTCTGGCACACGAGAGGCGTCCGGCGAGGGAGACGGCGACGAAAGTGACTTTCCGAATTAGTCTCCTGGGGCGCGTGGTGACGACTCGCGCCTCGCGACGCCGCGGTTCGGGGCGCCGCGTTTTTAAAACGGAAAGGACACGGATGACTCTGGCGTGAAAGCTCGGCACGCCACGCCTCGCGGTGCTTCCCAGTTGTAGTCTGATTCCGAATGGCTCTGTGTCCTGACGGGACGCCTCGGGAGGGCGAGAGAGACAGCGACGAGACAAAGCGCTTTTCCCAGGCTGTCGCGTGCGGAATGCGTGCCCGCGGGCTGCCCATAACGCATCCATGCATCTCCGAGTGCCAATAATTTACGGCCGCAAATCTATTTAGTGAAATCCGTTCCGTGACGGCAGCGCGCTCCTCACGCCGCGGCGATCGGGAGCGGCAAAAAAGGCGCGCTGTTTGCCAGAGTGAGAGTCTAGCTGAAGAAGCGATGTTGACGCGTCTGGGTCGCGACCCCGTCCCGGCCGTCCCGGCGTCGAAAGCCGAGGACCCCGAAGACGCTCGAAGCGGCCCTTGTCTGCCATACCGGGCCGGACAAAAGCAGCGGCTCGGTCCGCGTTCAAATTACGCGCCCACGAGCCGCGCGAGCCGAGCGCGTGCGGAAAACAAAGCACGCGTGCCATCTTCGGCGACCCAAATTTTGGTGCCGGTTGACCCCGCTACTCTCCAACCGCTTTTGTTCCGCCTGGTTGGCATAATCGTGTGTGACACTCTCCTGTCCGCACCTCGTTCCGCGTTGTCCCGCGACAGGCCGACGGCGTCCTCCAGGAGCTCCTCCACGGCCTGGATCAGCATCTTGTTGAGGTAAGCGTCCCTGGTCTCGGGCCTCTCGGACAGCTCGGCGAAGAAGGAGCCGTGCCTGCTCTCCGCGTCGGGCCCCGTGCTGAAGCCTGCAAGGAGGAGACAGAGTCAGGTTGTCGAGGAGCTCGGGCTGCTAAAGTCCGCCCGCCAAGAGTGGTGTGCCGCTGCGCCGCGCGGGTAGGCAACCCAACAAACACCTTACCCTCCTCGCGGCGCAGCGGCCCCGTCATGCGGGTCTCAGGCCGGCCGGTGTGGGACGGCGGATGTAATCTCACGATGAATGTACCAGGGCACAGCCATGGTTGCACCCACCACGACAGGCCGCACGTCGGGGGCACATTCATCGCACGATGGCTGCACCCCTAAGTACACTTCTCCAAATGGTACATCCATGGCACGACACCGGCTGCAATTGGTGGTATCATGGGATAACCATTCTAGGTGTTGTTTACGTACCGTCCACGGAATCACCCGACTCGCCGTGCAGCAGAAGAAGGGCCTCCAGCTTGAGGCATGATATGGGGCCCCATCGGGGCATGCAGGTCATAAACAAGCGAACCTGTGCACAAAAAAAGACCCTTGATAACAAACAATCTGCACTTTGTTGCACGCTGCCAGCGATTTCGGGCCTCGTTTTACCTGCGTGGCGAGCGTGCGCAGGAAGCCCGGCTGCTCTTCGGGCTGCTGTTGGGCCTCGGTCGCGTCCTCCGGGAGCGGCGAGTACTTCCGGTGCTGGTTGTCACGGGCGTCGCTACCCAGCGCCGCGGTGGGCAGCGCGGAGGGGGCCGGCGGCGCCAGCTGCTGCACGGCCTCGGGCCGGGGGGTGAAATGTGCGCCGATACCCCCTGCGGGCCCCTCGGACGTGGCGGCCGCGGCGGAGATACCCCGCGCCGTGGGCGCGGCCAGCAGGGCCAGCAGCACGCAGGCGGCGCAGGACATGGCGAGGCGGGGCGGCGCTACTCCTGGCCGAGGGACGACGACGACGCGCTGCCGAAGGGCGTCGAGGTCATCGCTTGGTCATCGCACTGGCCCGTGACGGCGATCACTTCTTATTGAACGCCCTCTTTGTTAGTGGCTGAGAGAAAGGCGGGAAGAAAAATGGGATTTAATTGAGTTGGGCTGCCAGCCGGCGCGGCGTTGGGGGTGGGGGCAACCCGACACCGCCACCCCGCCTCGCGGGCGGCATGACGAGACTCGACGCGCTGATTTGTTTTCAACTCGTCGCGCCAAGTCCTCCAGCTGAGTGACTCCAACCGTGCCGTCACTGTCTCTCTCGCACTCCGACGGTAGGCCCGTGAGTGCGACAGAGACGGCGCTGCGAAACGATTTTTTTGGAGGCAGCCTCCAGCCAAGCCGACAGTGCGTCCGGATATAATTGGGTTACGGAACGCGCTCCTCTCCTGCGGCGGCTCCGACTTGCGCGCCTTGTTACCGAGAACCTGCCACTGACTCGAATAATGTCTAATTATTGGCTGTGAGTGCTGAATTTACCAGTTGGGGAGCCATACGCTTTACCCACCAACAGGAGTTTTCTTAACAGACTCACTTGCTCACACACGATTTTTAGGTAACATTAATTCACTGAAGTGAGAGCAAAACAGAGCGTAAGGTCTGCCGCCCTGTGCGCGCGGTGCCCGCTGTGCCGGTGACAAGGTTTTCTACGGCGTGGCTGGGCGGCGCATCTTGACTGACTTTCCACGCGTGAGCGGCCAGCCCACGGCCCATGGCGCACGCGGCGCACGCCGGTAAATGCACGGGGCGACGTTAACGTGCTCGTTTTCGCCGAAGCTACACTGTCGAGGGGATCCGCACGCCGGCCAAAAAAAGGAAACATTATCCGGCACCAAAATATTCGATTTATGGTCCGCCGTCGACCTTGGCCTTCGCGGCGCTCGCCTTCGGGTCCTTGTCACCGGCCAGGCGGGCGGCGGAAAGAGGCACACCGACCACGACACTTTAGACACACATCCTCGCGTTGGAGGACGGCGTCCTCCTACTCCCGCCGCTCGCCGCCAAATCGGCTTCCCGCCCTAAGGCCTACTCTGTATCGGCCTAGCCGGGCAAGCACCTCAGCAATGACGCACGTGCGGTGGCCTTGCTTCCGATTGGCCGGTACACTGATTCGCGCCCGTACGGGACTCTCAAAGAGTGCGAGAGACAGAATCCTGGATCGGTCCACCGCCCTTTCTCCCAGGCATTTCCTTTACCTTGCTGTGCGTGGTCCAGGCCTCCCAGGCCGTCTCGTTATCACTTTCCACCGGAAGAAAAATCCGGTGCGGTGATTCCGGTTCCGGTGCGGCGCTGCGTCCGTCCGGCTCGCGCGCGTGCCGAACGCTTGCTGTGCTCGCGTTGCTGGCGGTGCAGGCCGAGCGCGCGGTCCGTGTCCACTGTCGTGCTGCCGTGCTGCCCCCGCGGTATCATCCACGCGACTAGCAGTGGCATGGATTGATTGCGCCTCGCTTCCCACGGGCCGCCCAGAAACGAGGGAAGGACTAGCCGCCTCCACTGTCTTTCTCTCGTCCTCTCTTTCTGCGTCTCCCCTTTCTTTGTTCTTCGCGATCGGAATCGGCGGCGCAATTAGATTATGACGTGATTCGGGCGTTTTGCGTCGTTTTGCGTCGCGGTTCTCGCCGAGTCACCGACCCCGAGGCCCTCGCCCGGGAGTCCCCGGGGAGCCACCCTAACGGGGACGCACCTTCTCCGTAAACCGAGCTGTGCACTCTGTACTGTAACGCGGCCACATTGGATTACAGTCTACCAACGAGGACCTCCACAGTTATAAGAGCGAGTGAACCGCCGTCGAGGTGCTTCCTTCTTTCAGGAGCCAAAGCCAATGGCGAGCGGCTATTTTTTGCCAATCACTGTTTATTCAAATTCCAGGATGCCGGCTGGCACTTCCGTTTCCAGTCGTGACCGCGGCCTTCTCCGCCTCGTCAGGAGACTGATTCCGTCCGAGAGACATTTTCGCCGGGTCTACATTACACTTTTGTGTGCGAGCGGAAACAAGTGGCTTTAAGACGCGCTTTTCCTTATTGTTTTTTCGGGCATCACCCTGTTTGTTGCCTGTAATTCGTTCCCGCTGTTTTCCTAGCGTTTCAGACGTGATTTAGCGCTGCTCAGGCTCGGTGTTGAAACTGCTTCAAAACTTTTGTGACGCGCGTTAAACGTCGCCCCGTTAAATGTCCGCTTTACGAGGATGGTCTAGTTAAGCCGGCAATCATTGGCCAGTAATTTCACTCTCTTTCACTTTCGCAGTCTAGTTTCAAAGCGCGTTCGGTTTCGCACCTCAAGGCCACCCGGCAACAAAACGCCTTATAGAGCATCGCAATTAATAATAAGAAACAAAAAAAAGTAATAGGGATAAATAAAATCAATAGTTATGAGCGATGAGCACAGAGGCAGGCCCTACACGTACCTGCAGAACGGTCACGCTTAGCGGGCCGTGTTGGAGCCGTTGTCCGGGGTGAACCTCGTGTCGTCGTCCCCCAGGCCGTCGTCCAGACCGTCGTCCAGCTTGTCCAGGCCGGTCCGCACTCCAGCTCTGACCGCGACGTAATGAACAAGCTCGGCGTTTGTCTCGCCTTTAATGCAAACAAGATAAGGGTCACCGCAGCAGGGATTTGGGGAACAGGGCCGCCGAGCGGGCGCCGAGTGGACGGAGTCTAGTGCAGGCACCGGAGAGGCGGCGCATCCAGGCCAGCACCAGGTCGGCCACGTGATGACAAACGCGCCGCGCGGCTGCCGCGAGTCTGATGACTCATTTCGGGCAAAATGTTTCAAAGGAATTCCTCCGGTCGTCACGGGGAATTCACGGCCACAGCCTCGATGGAAGATACTGGCAGAGGACAGTGTTAAAGTGTTTTTGTAGTTTAAAAAATTCGGTTTTTTAAAGTGTTGGTTTTGCTCGAGCCAAGTCCTATAATCGTTAATCACAATGCACACCAATTTCTGTTTTCTTCAATGGGGTGCTGCGAATCTGTAGGCGGTTGGCCCCCAGGCCGGCTCGCAGGACACACCCGAAGCCTCTTGGGGACACCTGCGCCGGAAGGCAGGCAGCCCAACAAGCACGGTGACCCAGCCCACCACCGGAACGCCACTGCCGAGCGCCGCAGCGCCGCGCGGTGTGCTTTGTTTATCGACAATAAGTAAACTTGCGCGCCAGATTTACACAGCACACGACGGCCTAATTAGTAATCAGCGGGTTGGGCCTGCAGCGAGAGCGACGAGGACAACAACAGCAGCGTGTTCCTCGTCTTGCAAATCGCGGACGTCCATCCCCGGCAACGGAAACAACAGCAACAACGACCTGGCCGGGGGAGTCTATGGGAAACATTTCACTCTTTTCCTTTATCCCGGTCGGACCGATCGCAATTAGGGGAACGAACACCACCTGGGAGGCGGGCAGCGAGCCGTCGATCTGTTTGGACGGCCGGCAAGCGGGGTGTGGTGGGGCGGGGCGGGGCGTGGTGGGGTGGAGAGCAGCGCCAAACGCCGGGAACACTTAACATGTCTGACTGCAAATCGTGGTCTGTCGCCGATCGCTCTCTCTGAACGACATTCTTATTTCGCCCATTGTTCCCCGCCTCGCCCGAACAATGGTGGGCCATGGATCCTGCTAGGAGACACCGGCCGAACGGACCGCAAATTTTGGTCCCGAGATGACTGACTGCGGACTCATCGAGTGCGGTGGGTTGGTTGGCACGCACCTTCAAGGACAACGCCCGACTTTCGAATTTTGAAGTCGTTAAATAGGGGTCTAACAAAACAAACTAGGTAAGACATCTATATGTTCCTTGTTTACAAACCTCACTGAAGGTACCATAAAATATTTCATTATAGTCCCATTTAAAGATTTAGAGCTGCAGAGATGGGTCCGGCCCAACTGATCCCGCAAGGCCGACAGTGTGTTGTGCCCCCGCCCTCCATTTATATTCCCAGGCGTGAATCGGGGCGGGCCTTTGGTTTTGCCGAGCGCGGCCCTGCCTCGGCCCTGCGTGCTTTGGGTATGCGCCACGCGTGCGGCGGGCGGTTATCCCCGCGTGCGCGGCTCCGCGCACAAAGGGCATAAATACGACAAACTGGAGCCCCTCTCTTCCAGAGGCGCCACCCCTCGGTGCCTCAAACAATTCCAAGCGCTCCCCAGAGTCGAGATAAGCCTAGTCGGCCTCAGCCACCCGTCCCACAAGACACATTCCTCGGCCTGGCTGCAGCAGTCTGCATTCCCGGCTAATCCCTCGCGGCGGCCTCGTGCAACAAAGTGCGCTCCTGTGAGCTGGCGGCGTGGCGCGGCGTCACGGAGTCTGGGAGGGTGCGGCGCCCGAGCGACGCACTTCAGTGGCGCGGTGAGCGCAAGGATGGCTACGCTGTTAGAACATTAGTTTTTCCGAGACAGGTTTTTTTACGCCAGAATGAGTCTGTGTGTGATGAGACACTTGCTGGCTTCGGCTGCCCGCCTAGACCGAACAAGTTAATATGACGACACGGACGTGAGGTAGACCTCGACTCTGCAACTCGATCACTGGTGACTCAGACAAGAATGGGTGGGGGAGTTGTAACTGCAGGGGCAGATGGCCGGCGCGTGGACCAGCCGGGGAGGGACATCCTCGAGGGAAAAGAGCGAAAGCGAACCGGCAGGGGGCTCCGGGGGCGGGGTGGGGCGGGGCGCTAGGGGCGGTGCATGCCATTACGCCGTGTGGCGCTGACAGTCGGACACACAGACGGGCAGACGGACGAACCGGCGGGCGGGCGGTCGGATGTTCGGATTCTTCCAGACACTATCGCGTGTGTTTCCTGCAACGGCGTGGCTTGGCGTAGAGGAGTTTCACATGAAGAACCTTTCTCACAAAACGCTTACTAAACACTGAGCGGCGAGGCAGCGCGCGGCATGTCCTTTCGCGAGCCGTTGACGAAAGGGTTCCGCGAAAGGCACTGGAAAATGGCCAGTGGCCGGGACGGTCACCACCACGGCGTGGGATCCTCTACAATGCGGCGTTAATTCGGCCTGTGCTGTTAATTTGAAATACATATGAGGCACAGTGCCTCTCGATGTGGCCTGACAGAAGGATTACGGGTGACAGGGAGTCGCTAGTCGCACTCTGCCGGGCTATAGCAAAGGATCTTTTCGTTGCTCTGTCTCTGTTCCACTCACGGGGTGTCCCATTGGGATACAAGAGAGGCAGAGCGACGGAACGATGTAGAATCGCTCCGATGCGCCATAGCCTCCGACTCCGCTGGGATGGACTTGTTGAAATCCCGCCTAGAAAGCACTGCGCCGCGGCGTCCTCCGCACCAACTCCATGCAGGCCGTCTCGGTGGCCTCGCTGCTGACGAGGGCAGTTTCAAGAGGTTCCGAACTCCCCGCCGGCAAACTTGGAGCAGACGACTGACTGCGACGCGTAGGGGCGCGGCACTGGCGCGGCACTGGCGCGGCCGCGGATCTGAATAGGCGCGTCCTCCCGCCTTATTTTCCGTGAACGATAATAATCGTAAAACGAACGCGCCTGGAAATAACGCACTTGAAAAATAACGCTTCGCAGCGGGCCGCCGGGCATGTGTTTTCCGTGTGCCATTCTCTGACCGAGGGGGGAGTCGACAGCAGCGATCCTCGCTTTCTTCTGCTCGGCACGAACGGCCGCGCGTGTGTGCGCGCGCGCTTGTGTGTGTGCCCATTAAAAGTCGCGGAGGTCTCATTTCGGCAGTACGACATGGGCCCGGGCTGCGTTCAATGGAAACTCACTTGAGTGCTTAGCATGCTCCCCTCCCCCTCCACCCCTCATAGCAGAAAAGGAAGAGTTGGTCGTTCGTTGCCATTTTCTTATTCCGTTAATTTGTGCTGTTCAAAATAGTCGCCAAAGAGTGTACCCTTATAATTTTTTTTTTTCTCACCCTGCTCGCCTCTGAAAGACAGTCTGCATATGTATAATGAGCATTAACGTGGTTTTCGTGTTTTCAGCTAGTTTTTTTTTTCTGGCCAAAGAAACGAACGTAACTTGTAGTGTAAGAGTTGCATGGGCGATTCCCGGCCGCTGCTCGCCATCTTACGCCAGTCGAATGCCACTTGCAGTGAAAGTAACGTCCGCCAGCATCAATTTGGACCGCTCCCCGGCGGAGCGATGCATCGCGGCGTGCTGCAGCGGACGAGGTGTGACAAACCGTGCGATTATGTGTTCGACGTCACGGCTCATCTCTGTGTGTGTGTGTGTGTGTGAGCGCGCGGCGTTAGCCGTCATTAAAACAGCGAAATGAAATCGAAGATCACGACCGACGATGAGTCGTTCCCTCCGTGCTACGCCCCCAAAGGCGCACTTCCAGCAGTCGCTCTGTCTCTTTTGCATTCATTGGACGCCCCATAGACGCGCGAGAGGGACAGGCGCGATGGCGTGGCGTGAGGCATTAGTAGAGGGATGTCGTCATTACACGGCATGCAGAGACCCCAACACGTTCGAAAGGGAAAGTCGAAAACACAGAAAAAACTTCGCATCGCGGATCCACGGGAAAAGCCTACAGAGACTCTGCGTCGTCAATTTTCAATCGGTCTAAAAAGAGCAATTCTGTGGAAAAAAAATTGATTTGTTATTTGTTCATTGAGTGGATGGGGTCCATGCTGGAGGTTGATGCCCCCCAAGCGTCTATCTCGTTTTACTAAGGTTTTCCTCGTTGTCGGGGAACACCAACTAGCGATCCATAACAAAAGTTTATGTTAAGGAGTTTTTAAGATTTGAGTACGTAAGCCCGTACAACGAGAATTGAAATTCGTCTCGTCCTTGACACTGCACTGCCCCATGGCCAACGTCCACCGGCCAGCACCCCTCCGCTGCCGCCGCCACCCCTTGGCGCCGCTCGGCACCTGCTCTGCACCGGCCCGCGGGCTGGCGGGGCTGGCCGGCCGGCCCGCCGCGGCGTGGCGGCGCGTGGCGGCGTTCGGCTCCCCACTTCGTCCACTTGGTCGACTCGGTCCGGCCCCCTCCCCCTCCGCGTCGCTCCCGCGGGATCCTAGCTCTGGCCGCCTGGCCGGCGCTGCCTGGCGCTGCCTTACCGAAGGTACCGAAGGCACCGAACGCCGCTGCCGGCGCTCCTTCGTCCACTTCTGCCGCGTCCACCGTCCATTCCGTTTAAAGCGTATTCCGAGCCGAGTTCCACGCCGTTTTCGACAACAGGCCCGCCAGTGTGGTCGTCGTGCAGCCCGGCGCGTGCGTGTGAGTGCGTGAGTGTGTGTGTGTGCATCAACATGGCCCGCAGCTAGCCCACGGACATATGGATATCATGGCATTCCCTCGCGCTGCTCCGGCATCGTACGGTGAGTCCATTGAGCGCCGCGCCCGTCCTGCGTGTGTTTGCGTTGAATGATGTTGAGTGACACGCCTGAGCGAAGATAAATCCACAAAGATGGACGGCCTGCTACCGCCCCACTGCTTCCGCGACTGTGGCACCCACACTGTGAGTCTGTATGTGTGTGTGAATGTGTGAGCATGTGGGCGTGTGGGCTTGACAAAGGGCTTCCTGCCCCACGTGTCGCACACGCGGGGATGCCCATGCTCCTCGTTACAGGACACCTAGACGACCGTCGACGCAGCATGTGGGAAATAAGGCCGTTTTGGAAGAATTTTTGTGTCGACTTTGCAGCGACTTTCAGCCGCTGGCCATCCCAACCCGCGTAAGGCATCGCCTTCTCTCATTTCGCGTCCACCATCAAAATTTCGGCTGGCACTATTTTCAGCCTCACGGCAGCTTTCTTCTCCGACACCTGCTGCTCCACTGGCCGTCATGAAGGACCCCCTCCCCTCCCCCCCCCCTCTCGACAGCCGAGCAACATGGATTTATATCTATTTTCATGGCGCGGCCGCCTCTCCACCGCGAACTAGGCCGGAATAATGTGCCCCTGAAGCGGGGTGCCTCGCGTCGCGTCGACGGGGACAACGAGCCCAGCCTTGCCGGTGAACCGTGTCTGGCGTGTCTGCCTGCTCAAAGTGCCGTCCGATTTATTTTCCACGTCTCGGCCGGGCCAGGCAAGGCCGCGGCTGTCAACGCAGAGCGCGGCGCCCGCGTGCGCACCCCGACCGCGCCGCGTTCGCTTCCTAGTTTCGGAGAAAGACGCCCGAATCGCGGCAGCGGGTAACGCGGCCTCGGCGTGCCACTGCGAACTGATTCCAAACAGAGCTTTCAGTCTCACTCTCTGAGGCTCGTGGAACGCCCCACTGTGGCGAGAGAGACAGAGCGACGAAAGCTACCGCTGCAGTCCGCTGGCGCGCGCCAATCGCACGTTCTTTGAAGGAAGGCACGTGGTGTGCGCGGCGCGCGGCGCGCGCAGTGCTCGCGGGGCGCCGCCAAACCAACGCGTTACTTGGAGGAAAAAGTGGGAAACCTCATTCCGATGCTCGCGGGGCGGGGCGGGGCGCCGCCGATAGGCCCTGTGTGCGCGCATTGGAACTGGACCGGCGGGCAGGAAGACGGCGGTCGCGGCCAGCTTACGGACGCGCCCCGCGAGGCGTTGCAGGCCCTGCCCGAGCACGCACTGGGCTCCAGGGCCGAGGCGCCGCGGGCCGCGAGGCTGCTGGACGTGGCCGGCTCCTTGCCGACGCGGTGCTCTCCGGTTTCGTGCTCATAATCGCCCAGGCATAATTCCGCTGCCGCCTCGCCGCTTTGCCGCTTTGGTCTCACGGTTACCGTAAGCGCACTGCCACCACTCGGACACGTCGCCGTCCTGGCCAGTGCAGCTCCGCGGCTCCGCGTCGAAGGCAGCCAGCCAGCCGCCCCCCGTGGCCGAAACCACTGCCGACGTCATGAGAACAACAGTGCGGTTTAATTAGTGCAAATGACGGGCCGCGAGGCGGCGCAACCAGTGTACCGGCTGTGTAAATTTCCAGCCGCTCCTACTTTTTGCCTCGTTCTAACGAGTAACGACTGGTTACCCCGTTGTTCCGGAAACACCTGCAGTCGTTCCTTTGGTTCTCGCTCGGTGAATACGACACCGCGGCGGCCAGCAGTCGTTTCGAACAGCGCGGTTTTCGCGTTTAACGGCGCAAACGGACCGACGGACGGGCGGACAGACAGACGATGCGACCCTCAATCATCCACGATCTGTGCTGCGGTCAGGTCCGTCCGTCCGTCCGCGCACCGCGCCCTGTTGCTCCGCGAAAAGCAGAATAATATCCGTGTCACACTGCATGTCTCTTTTGTTGCTTTTAACGTCCTGGCCTAACCGGCCGGGCCGCCCACACACCGACTGCTGCTCTCACAGCGAGTCGGCACCCCTGTGGGAACGCTGCAGGTGATTCAATACAGAGTAGTGACGCGGTAGGAAGGCGTAGCGGTTCGACACACGTGTTGCAATTACCCGGGAGCACATCAAGCAGGCCGCCAGCGCCGCCAGCGCCGCCAGCGAGGATGGCAGTGCGACAATTAAGCAGTCGACACCATCTCGGGCACTCATCGCTCTGCCTCACTCGCACCCCCGGGGCGCCGCGTCAGGCCGCGTCGGGGTGCGAGCGAGACGTCCGGCGGGGTGGCGCACGCCGCGCCGCGGCAAACTCTCGGAGCGAGGCTTATCCGCGGCGATCGCCGCTGAGAAAATGTGCGTCATCGCGGGAGCCGCGCGCGGGTCACGACACTGGCGGCAAAGCGAAGCAGGCGAAGCTGGCGAAGCGGCCGAAGAAAAGTAAATAAATCACGGGGAGCGGAGCAGAGCGGAGCAGAAGCCGAGCGTCGTTCGTTCATTATCGGGCCGGCATCGCGCCACTTCGGGGACTGCGGTCGCGCCGAGCCGCGCCGAGGCGCGCCGCCGCAGTTGCAGTGGACCTCGCTTCGCCTCTCTCGCACCCCTCCGGGACGCCCCGCCAGTGTGACGGAGACGGGGCGAGGCGGCGCCGGCGGACTAGGGGTGGCCGTCGCACTGCCCAGCGGACTGCGTTTCCGAAAATCCGTCGTTTCGTCGCCCCGACTCTGTCGCACTCATCGGGCGCCCCGAGAGAGACAGAGCGACGAAACCAGTCTTCGAAATCAGTCCGCAGACGCACCCTCCGCGTGCGTTTCTCCGCGCTTTCCTGGCGCTGCTGACGTCAGCGTCCGCGGCGAGCGGCGCATAATGACACCAAATCATGTGTCGTCGTCCTCTAGTCCTCCAGCCTTCCAGGTCTTCCAGTCGGCCGGGCACGGCGCGCAGCGTATCGGGATCGGGGCGGGGCGGGGCGGGGCGGGGGGGGGTGGGGCGGGCGGGGCGGGGCGGGGCGGGGCGGGGCGGGGCGGGGCGGGGCGGCCCAATCGAAACCACCGGGATGCGGCCAGGCTGGGTGATTTCGGCGTGCGTGTCGTCCACCGCCGCCCACGCACGCCGCGTTTCTAGTTTAATGAAGCGTGGCATTTCACCGACTGCGACGCCAAGCTCCAAAGTAGCGCGATTTCATCTTGAGAGAAAATAATGACATTTTTTTCTCGAACTGATTGTTAAGTGGCTGTTTAATACAGCCACATTAGCTCAAGAGTGTACATAGCATGCTACTGGTTGCGGAGCCGGTATGCACACACTTGAGATAGCACCCACTTTGCACCCTGTATCGCTATCATTATTTTTCCCACTTTGTTTTCGGCCGTAGTTGTGTTTCCTCTTTGACTTTGAACTCGTTTTTACATTCCGCCCGCGCGCCGCTGCGCCACCACGCTCAAGCAGAGCAGGCCGCAGCACGATTTGCCTGCCCCGCAACAAGGACGTCGTCGTCGACATCGTCAGCGAGGAGAGTGAAAGCTTTGCGCCGCAGTGTGCATTTTGAAGCTCCTGGCCCGGCGTGCCTACAAGCCGTGCCGCCGTGCTTTAGCAGTGCCGCCCCGGAGGAGCAGCTCGGCGAGGGCAATGATCCATTCGTACGAGTGGCACGTAGAGAATGGCGCAGTCACGAGCGGCCGGACGGGATACACTGGGCCGCATGAAAAACTGCTTTACTTTTCATCATCATCGTTACCTCATTAATGTGTGCGTGTGTGTGTGTGCGTGCGAGCACATTTGTGCATATCAATCACAAACAGTGGAGCGCGCATCGACAGCGTGTGGTTCGCCGAGAAGGTGGGGGCTGACGGGCAGTGGTTTCAGCCAGCGCTGCTCTTCATCGGAAGCGCCTACCAACCCGGCTGCCTCTGGACCCTGCAGCGTGGCCGCCCCGCGCTGCTGTCCCAGCGGGCCGTGCCGCCGTGCCGTACTGGTGCGGTGCCCAGGCTGCACCCGAAAGCCAAAAAACGCGCGCCTGTCCGGGCCGTCCCGCGGCCCCGCGGCCCCAAGACAGATGGCCGGGGCCTTGGCCGGGGCGACGCAGTGACAGCCTGCTGGAGGTGGTGCACTGCCGAGTGGACGGCCGCTCCGTCCGCGCTCCGTCCGCGCCAGCAGCTGCTTTGTAATCTTCGGACGGCCGGTGCTCTTTTATTACCTCCCGCCGTGGACGCGCCGGCCGCAGTGCAGCAGTGCTGCTGTGCGACCGAACCCGCCCCTCTTTTGCACCTCAAGTCCGGCCGGCGGCAGTCCCGGACGGGAGGAAAAATAACACGTCGTGACCTTGGAGTCGAACCCGGGTGACTCACCTCGAAGGCGCGGCACTCTAGCCCCCTCGGCTGTCGCGACTGACCGGAGCGAAAGCGTTTCGGAGAGCTCCGCGTCCACCTGCCACTGGTATGGAAAGCCCGGCCCTCAGCCCGGCCGGCACGTTGCGGAGGCTGCGGGGCTCCGTGTCGCGGGTCTGCGGGTCGCGGCAGCGGGTCACAGGTACAATGCCATGCATCGGCAGAGCGCCGCCTCTTGCTGTTGTTGCTGCCGCTGCAGTTGTTGTTTTGTTCGGTCGGCCGGGTCCGCCGCTTACGAACGGTCAGAGTGTGTTTTACTTTACCGAAGATAAAATCCGCCGCCGTCAAAGTCGGCCGTTAAAACCGCTTGAACAGCAACAATTACTGCAAGAAAGAACAACGAACAACAACAACAACAGCAGCATGGAGGGAGGATGCGCGCAGCAGTGGCGGCGCGGAACGCTGGTGGGATTATTTGCAGTCATTTCGCGCCACGGTTATGCTCGGGAAAATGAGCCGCGGTGGGGAAATGTGTGAATAAGTTGGCCCACTGGAGCGCCCCTGATCCTGGATGTCCTCTGTGTGTGTGAGGGGAAAGGGGGGGGGGCGCTTGCCCCGGCGTAGGGGACACGTCCCGGGACCCTCGTCGTCCTACCGGTGCATCCCGGTTCCCAGTTCCTTTATCCCATTATCCCGTTAAGTGTCCTGGACGTCCCGGGTCGTCCGGGACGGATGGCGCACTGCCGCCGGGCCGTGCCGCGGGCCGCGCCGCTGTCCACGCCGAGGGGGTGGTTGGCGTTGGCCACGCCGCCGCTCGCTTTCCACGGCCCAGTGCACCGGCGGCCCGTCCGCCCAAAAGCGTGGCCGCGCCGCCGTGGCCCCCGAAGGCCGAACCTGGAGGAGT